AACAGCCGCCTCGGCTGCCCCCGCCCCCTTACCCCCCTCCCCTGCTTGCTGATGGCTCGGATGCGGCCGCCAAGCTGGACCCTGGGGCATAGTCATAGAGGAGACATCCATTTGTCTTTCTTTTTCTTGGCAGGAGGGGGTGGTGGTGCAAATTGAATTTCAGTTTTATCCTTTGTGGTTTTCTGCACAATCCATCATAACATTTGTACAGCAGGTGACACGGTTTTTGTGGGAAAAGCCTGTGCTCCGGCCCCATGGACGGCTGAGGCCAGCCCTCAGGTGTGTTTCTCCTGTCCCGTGCCTGGGCCCTCGGTCATCTTTCATCTGGGCATGACTTCAGACTGCCAGAAAACATTACAAGGGCAATGCAAAGATCTAGTGCACACTCAGAATCACCAACTCTTGGTTCACTCTCACCCCGACCCCTTCACACACACACACACACACACACACACACACACACATTTTTCTGAACCATCTGCGAGTAAATTGTAGACCATGCCCTTTTATCCCGAAGTATTCGGCGTGTGTTTCCTAACAGCAAGGACGTTCTCTTATATAAACACCACATAATGATCCAACTCGGGAAATTCAGCTCGGCTGCAATTGTATTATCTCCTCCACAGGCCACACACAATTTCATTGGTTGTCCCAATAATGTCCTGTGGGACTATTTCCCCCTTATTCTAGATCACCCCTGCATTTAGTGGCCATGTCTCCTCAGCCTCCCTTTATCTTGGAACGTTTCCTTGGCTGTTCTTGACCTTGCTGTGTTTGAAGAGTCCAGGCCAGTTTTGCTTTGTAGAATGTCCTTCAGTTTGGGTTGGGGCCCTCGTTCCTGAAGGTTCACACCTTGCTTTACTTCATGCTCTGTAATCCTTGGTGGTCCCGCATGGCTTGTAATTGAGCAAACTAAGGTATAGGGAGATCAAGTGAATGGAATGGTCCATTGTTCCATTCCTAGGTGCTTGCAGAGCTGGAATTCAAACCAAAGACTGTCTGATCTGCCTGCCCAGCAACACAAACAGTGACAGCGTGTAGACCCTGAGAATAACCCAGTGTGAATCAAGCACTTACTGTGAGCTGGGCATTGTACTTAGCGCTCTGCACACCCTGCATGCATCCTTGCCCCACTCCAGAAAGGTAACTGCTCTTCGGAGCCCTGATTTACACATGACGATCAGAGAGGGTAAGTTAGACTGCCCAGCGTGCACAGCACTTAGCTGGTAGGGACTAGCTCTGACCCCAGCAGCCTGTGTCCTGAGCCCACTTGTTGCCTCTGCCATCAGCCCTGCTGGATCTCATAGCATTGGGGGTGGTACTGACCATACTTCAGTGATGTCGCCTGGGATCACTGCTGGGGCGCAGTGCTGAGCCAGGCTGGAGGCTTTCACCCGCTTTGCTGACCTTGCAGGAGAGGCACAGATGTACTTGTGTTTATGTCCTTCCCCCAGGCCTTCTCCAGAGGGAGCAAACACATCCCCGGGCTGGGGCCTGCTCTCAGGGGCTTCCTAGGGAAAGCTGTCCCGTTCTCTGCTCCTACAGGTGCCATAGTCCACCTCCATGGTCTGTTTGCAGCAAACGGATGGCGTTTTGATGATTTCCAGGTCAGGAATCCCCGTGTAGTCACTCATTTCACGGCCAGCTGTCTCTCCTGCCAAGTGGCCCAGGGCCGCCCCCCCTCCCCCCCGAAGGTGGCTGGTCCTGGCTGCCGTCGGTGTGCCCAGTTGGCCCCACTGCCCAGGCCGCATCCGGGTGGCATTCAAGGCCAACTGCCCCGGTGATGCGGTGGTCATGCTCCCAGCGGAGCTGCTGATTAATTATTCAGTGCTGTATGTCACACTCCGTGCCCCTCACCTTCCCTTTGGAGACAGGAAGGTGACGGCCCTGCCTTCAGGTTGTGTAGAGGACACTTGAGGACAGGGCACACTTGGAATTCCACTAGCAGAGCAAGGGGGGGTCCCTGAGCACACGGCAGAGGGCCCATCTGTGGGCCCCCGTCTGCCTCTCACCTCCAGGGGACCTTGGGGTCCTGGTCGGCCTGTCCCAGGCCCTCCGGCCCCTTATTCATCTGAACACAGCATTGGGCCCCAGCGGTGATCCCAAGCCACATTAGGGAAGCACTGTCAGCATCCTGAGAAAGCCTGCAGCCCCCTGGTTCAGATGCACGGTATCTCTGTCCACTGCAGAGCAGGTGAATGTCCCGTCCTTGGGACCGAGTGTCAGGCAGGAGGTTCTGGGAGTAGCAGCTACCTCCCCCTTCAGGCCCAGCCTCTGGGCACCTGCTACATGTCGGGTCTCCCTCTGCATCCCAGCTCCCTCCTCCTGCTGGGGTTGATGGATTCCTGAGAAGTGGCCAAGAGAGTTCTGTCACCCTGTGCTAGGCCAGTCTCCTTTACCCCTGGCTCGTCTCTGTGGGTGGGAAGTGACCGGACTGCCTGCCTGGGCTCGGTGCATTGAGGCAGGCCTGTGACCTTCCCACTCTGACCTCCCTGGCCGGCCCAGGACTCCTCCCCCCATTGCTCTGGCAGCGAGCACCTGGCTGGACTGGCTCCTGGGAGAAACTTGGAAGTTTTAGCTCCTCATTTTCCATGGAACATTGCTCCGTGTGTGTGTGGTTTAAAACATTAATTAAAAACATTAATCAGTTTGGCTGCCTTGGGAAGAGAGTCTTTTTCTGCAGGAGCTGATGTTGTGTGTTATTGCTGCCCCCCTTTCAAGGAAGAGGGAGTGAGCTTGCAGACCAGCTATTCAGCTGCATATTCCTCCTTAGTCCCTCTGAGCTTTTGTGTCCACGTCTGTAAAATGGGGATGAGGTTTACGCAGCGACCTGACCTCCTGGGGTCAGTGCGGGTGCTCAGTATGGTCCCGTGAGGATATTCCTCAGCAAAGTGTCCTGTGCTGCGGACGGTGCTTGTCAGTGGTGCTGTTAATTCGATTCAGTATGGTGCTCTAGTACCTTAGTGTTTGCAGAGCACCTCTTGCGTGCTCTGTCTTGTCTAATGCCGGTGGCACAGCTGGGAGATGGGTGAGTGTTGGAGTCCACTGCACGGATTCTGACAGGCGTCGCTTGTTCCCTTGGCCCAGAGTGCCAAGCCCCTACGCTGGATAAGTCACCGTGCTGATATGAAGAGGGGAGGCCTTTTCCCCCTCACTGGGAAGAGACTAAGAAGTTAAGGCCCGAGTGTTTGCTTAAGTGGTATTACTAATAGCTGACATTTCTAAGTATCCACAACATGCCGGGCCCGGTGCTGAGCTCTGCGAAGATTCCCACTTAACACTAAGAACAAACCTGTAAAATGAGATACTAAGGTTTGGAGGGTCACTTGCTCAGGCTCCTAAGAAGACTCGTGTAGACCTGGAATGCCGATCCAGGCGGTCTAACAACCAGGGAGCTGGGCTGCTGCCTTTTCCAGGCAGAAAGGCGAATGCGTTTTTGATGGCAAGGCAAAAAAGTGCCTTTAAAAATGCCTGAGAAGTGTGGGAGGCTGCCCACGGCTGGAGCGTAGATGTGCCGAGGAGGGCAGCCTTCTGAGCGCGTTGCTAGTCAGGGGACTTCCCTGAGTGAGCCTCTTCTGCTGGGAACTGACACAGGGCACGGGGGTGAGACTGGCGCCCCGTGGGAGGAGACGGGCCCTCCCAGGCTTGCAGAGCTGCTGTGGCTCTGTCTGTGATACCGACGCGTCCAAGCGAGGCATGTGACAACCAGGGGGCCTCAGAGAAGCTAACTGTGACCACATTTTTCCTGGAGCAGGGTGAAGGAATCGGTGCGGAAGGCAGGCCACCTGGCCTCTGCTCTCGGCGGGGTGTGAGGGTCTTTCTCTAGCTGTTCCTACACTTGAGGGCAAATGGCCCTTCAGAACTTGTCAGTCTTACTGAGGCTGAGACCATGTTCACTGAGCTCCATCTTCGTGATGATCTGGTGGCTAAGATGCTGGGGATTTTGAGGGGGTGCAGGAGGGAAGTCTGGAACAGGGGAGAATCACCCCATTGTAAATGTAACCGTGTGGCTTTTTTTTTTTTTTTTAAGGATTTTTTTTTTTCCATTTAGAGAGAGGACCTGCATGCGTGCACGAGGGTGGGGGGGGGCGTGGGAGGGGCAGAGGCAGAGGGAGAAGCAGACTCCCCACCGAGCAGGGAACCCCTGGGATCGTGACCTGAGCCGAAGGCAGACGCTTAACCAACTGAGCCACCCAAGCGCCCCAGTAGTGTGGTTTTTGGTCGTGCTATGCCGCCGCTTGGAGGAGAAAAGTTGGTGTCTGCACCCACCCGGCTGAGCGTTCGGCTCTGCTCTAGGTGTCTTAGGAGGTCCTTCCAGAGCTGGTAAGACCAGCAGTAGCCTCCTTGACCCCTTCTCCCCCCACCGCCTCACCCCCCCCCCCTTTGGCCACCTCATGTAGCCATCTGGATGATCAGTTAGGATAAGAATCCCTGGTGAAGCGACATTTTTTGTTCCCTGAGTAATACATGATGTCTGCTGGTCACATGTTACCAGATGACAGTGTGCAGCTCAGATAAATCTTACAACCTAGTGAATGTGACACCGCCTCCATGGCTCATAGTACCCCCACCGTCTGTGGAATGGCTTGGACATCCAGGGACAGGTCATTCTCAGAGTGATGTTACTAGGTATGTCTCTTTCTTCCCTCTACCTAGAGTTCCTGGACTCAGGTGCACGAAAAAGCTTTAGTGCGGACGGAAGACGAGATCGATGGGCAGGGGTTTGGGAGGAGGAAGACCTGGCTCTCTTTCTGGCCTGGCCTCTCATGTGAGTTCTGAAACGCAGAGCCATCAGAACTGTTCTCGTAGGACTAAATGGCTTAACACAGGGCTTGGCACATGATAGTTGCTCAGTAAATGTCTGCTCTTCTGAGGCTTCTCCTTTAGCATCTAGTCAGTGTGCACTTTGTGGTTTTCAAATGAATGGAACCTCTCAACAAATCTGTTTAGTGTTAGCATTGATACTAAAACTTCCCTGCCCTTTTCTCGCCTGTTTACAGAATCCTGTCATACTTCGGATTTTGGTGCCGTCAGTCTGAAAAGCAACATATCCATTTGGTACTCTAGAGGGACTGTCCTTCCCTGAACTAAAGCTGGGCCATTTGGGGATTTGGAGAATAAAGGTAAGAGATTTCTCCTCTTGAGGCTTTATGAAGCAAAAAATTGCCTTTGGAATCGGTGATCTCCTGCAACGCAAGTTGGGTTGTGGTTCTTGACTTCTTGGCCTGGCTTCCTGTGCTGGTTCGAGAAGCTGGCTTCCCGTAACCTCACCCTGACACCTGGGACCTGGTTCTCAGCATTCGGCAGCCTCACTGTTGTTGTGCTTTGGGAGCTCTCCCTCCGTGCCTAGCCGAGGATGGAGCCCACTACATCCTAGGTGGATACCCCATGCCTTTCTTCCTGGCAGAGGGTGGCGGATACTCCAGCTATCCTGTTGAGACATGTGGAGACTGCACTGGGGGAGGATGAGAAGGTGCATTGGGAGCAAAACACCTCTTAGCAAAAAGAACGGAATCCCTGTCTCTCTCCCGCCCCCTTGCATTGCATGCTCAGTCCCACAAGTCAGAGGCTGTCTGGGGTAAAGGAAGAGGTGAAAACCCAGGGTTTTGGGCAGACCTGGGTTTTCCTGGCTTTGCCACCTGCCTCACCCTGGGCGGATCACTCAGCTGTTCCAGGCCTCGGTTTCCTCATCTGTAAGATAGGGATCGTATTAGCTCTTGCCTCGAGAGGATGTCGTGAGTATTGAATAAGATAGTGGAGATGGTTTATCATGCCGCCTGGCATGGGGGAGGAAATGCTCCAAAACAGAAGGGTATTTTTTTTTTTTTTAAGATTTATTTATTTGAGACAGAGAGAGAGTGCGCGCACAGGCGGGAGGGGTGGAGGCAGAGGGAGAGAGAGAATCTCAGGCAGATTCTATGCTGAGTGCAGAGCCCAATGTGGGGCTCGATCTCACGACCCTAGGATCACAACCTGAGCTGAAACCAACAGTCCCAGCACGTAACCAACTGCACCCCCCGGGCGCCCCAGGGTTTGGTTTGGTTTGGTTTTGTTTTTAACTCATTAAGTACACCATGTACAGTTCCCTCCACACAGCAGGCTCTTTCCAAGTCCTTGGCCTGCTCTTCTGTGTTTCAGCTCCCGCCAGGTCTGTCTGGGAAATGGCTTGTGCATGGTGCACAGACCCCCTTCCCTGAGCAGAGTGCCTGACTTCCTCCCATAGGCTGCAGCCAGCGATCTAGGGCATGCCTCCCTCAGACCCTGTTATGTCTCTCCCCCACCCACGCCTGTGCCCCCAGTTGCTTGTGACCTTGTTTAGAGCAAAGGACTGTCTTCCACATCCTGACACCCCACCCGACACCCACCTGACACTCCTGTGGATATTGCAAGAGCAAAGGAATGAACAATTAAAAAGGAGGAAGCAGAAAATAAGAGAGAGAGAACCAATAAGAAGAAAGTTCTTAAAGACTTAGAGCAAAGAATGAGGTCAGTTGCATTTTTTTTCCTTAAAAAAAAAAAAAAACCAAGGTGTTGAAAAGAATAAATCACAATGGAACAAGGAAACGTGGTTCAAGTGGGGACCGGTGAGAAGACAGGTGTGGAAGTCGGAGTGAGAGGGTAGCAGAGGATGGTGTTCACGCGCCCGTGTCTTTTCTCTTGTGCCTTAAATATGTCCGAGTGCATTTGTATCTCTCGTCTCCTGTGTCCCCCGCGGTCCCGTGACCCAATGTGGTGGTGAGCCTGAGGCCCCGCCCTTCACTCAAGGTCGGGGAGACTGACACACACATGGGGTTCTCCAGACTCCCCACAGGCAGGGGAGGGCCGCGGGGGTTTTCTAGAGGGGGTGCTGCCGCTTGAGCCTCTTGGAAGTGGCATGAAAGTGAGACCCACTAGGAGCCGAGCTGATTTGCAGTTGGGGAGCCTGTGCACCCTGTGCTCAGCACCCTGGTGCATTGCGTCAGGAGCTGATTTCCCGCTGTTTGGGGTCAGAACTCGTCTACAGTGAGTGCCACTGCCTGGCCGCCCGTTCGGCTCTCAAGCGCTCAGCCGGTCCCTTGCATTTTGTTACTGGAGCCCACGCTCCTGATCCAGGTAGCCGACTTCGGAAGCAGGAGTACCGTGAATGTGCCTCAGCCTCTTGTGTGATCACCCTGGCATTAGGGCCGGACCACGCCGCTCCCATCGGGGGTGTGGGCAAGGGCAAATGGGAGTCTGGTCACTGGGCTGGATGAGCGGCAGGCTGGGAGAACCGTCTCTTGTTGCCACAGCTGTGAGCGTGAGTGGTGTTGCCTGCATTCTGTGAATGGAAGAGAGAAGCCTGACTGATCTGCCCAGGGGTGATTGGAAAAGAATTTCCCCAGAGTTCAGCTGCTGGGAGTAGGCAGATGGAGCAGGGGTGGGTGCTGGGATTCGGAGGCGCTCCGCCCTGAACACGTCCGGGCAGGGCTGGTCTGTGCTGGGGGCTCTGAGAAAGGCGTCCACGCTGTGCTCGTGTGTGTGGTTCTACCCATCTTGAGGACACCGTCATTCCACTAGGGGCCTGTCTGCCTGCACCCCTGCTGTCCGTGAGCCTGGGCCCTGGAACAGAGGTACCAGTACCCCTGCATTTCCCCCCGACCCCAGCGCCCCCTCCCAGGCCCCCAGGGACCCTGGGCAGGTCCTTCACCACTCTCCAGGCTTCTTGTTTCTCAGCTGCAAAATGGACCGGTCCCCCCTTGGGCCGGTCTTGAGGAGCCCAAAGCTGGCCTGAAAAAAATGCTCAGCCAAAAGGTAGCCCTTGTTGCTGGCTTCGCCTCCACCTCCTTGCCTGTCTAGCTTCTGATGGGTGATTCTCCCATCCCCACCCCTCCTTGGACATGCAGATAGGCTTGTGCCTTCTTCCCTCTGACCCTCACCTTGCTCTTTTGGACTCCCCTCCTGGCACCATCTCCCCCTGGGAGCATCTCTCGGCTCCTGCCTGATGTTCTCAGGCTGCCTTCCAGCCCTGACCTTTGGGGGAGAGGGCACCCACGGGCTCCTGCCTGCCTGTGGAAAGGAGCCAGCCCTGGTCTTTGGCCACAGCTATTTCTTTCTCTGTCTACAGCACTGAAAGAGCTCCCGGCCCGCTCGGGACTCTAGGCTTGAAACAGAACACGTATTTTCACCCAAACACCTCTGCTATTAGCCCATTTTACTATTTACTCTATTTCTTGTGGTTTCATGCTGAGGTTTTTGGCTCATTGCATTTGACCTGGAGTTTATTTTTAGCAGTGGAGACAGAGTTCAATTAATGTCAGAGTGTGAGGGCAAATGCAGAAGAGGGATTCGCAAGTCTGGAAGGAAATGCACCTAATTTTGTTGTTTCTGATCCTGCCTGCTGTGCTGGCAGACATCGGGCTTCCTCAGCTGTGCCACCATGGGCTTAGGCAGAGGCAGGGCACGGTGTCCTTGCCACGCCCCGGAAAACAAAAGTGCTTCTGGGACTCTTTCGGGGATAATAACCACCGCCGTTATCGTCATGTGTGATCATTATTACAGTTATTATTAAAGGCCAGACTTTGTCACTTGGGCTCTTGTTATGTCCCCAGTGGCCTACATTGTCTCCAGAAGCAGCCTCCGATTTTCTGGAATATCAGCTCTTTCCCCTGCCCTGTAAATATTTTGAGAGAAGGCTGTGCGTCTTGCTCCCTCTCTGGTCCTGGCTGTTGGCGTCATGACAGGCACATAGGACATGCTTGGGGAATGTTTTCTTGGACCGCCTGAATTTGAGGACACTGAGTTTGGGCCAGAAAGTTGGAAACAAGGTAGAAAGTACTCCTCTCTCAAGGGCTCCGCAGTCGGCTTTGGGAAACAACATAAACGCTGTGCGTGCTTAAGGGCTTTCAGTTTATAAAGGTCTCCCTCATCCTTTCTCCTGTCTCTTTGTCCCCGAGTCTGGACTGAGAAACTACAGCATTCGCTCTGCAGGCGTCTGCAGTAAAGGAAGGAGAAGCCTTGCTCTGAAGGCCATCTGGAAATGGAGACTGGCTTTGTGGATCCCTGATGTCGTGGACTGCATGTTTGTGCCACCCAAAATTCATATGTTGAAACCCTAACCGGGAATGCAGTGGTCTTAGAAGGCGGGCCCTCTGGGGGGTGATGAGGTCATGGGGGCGGAGCCCTCAGCGATGGGATTAAGGGTCTTAGAAAAGGGACATCAGAAGAGGGTCGCTTCTCTCTGCTCGCTGCCGTGTGAGGACAAAACCAGAAGACTGTCTTTTGCACACCAGGACCTGAAGTCTGCCAGCACCTAGGTCTTGGGCGTCCAGCCTCCAGGAACCTTGAGAGATGTTATTTAAGGCACCCCATTGGTGGCGTCTTGCGATGGCAGCCTGAGCAGACTGGGACACCGTATCTCACCGATGAATGACCTGGAGACTCAGACAGATGGTGCTGCTGAGGCCTCCCTGCTGGCTGGTGGTGCATCTCAAGTTTGTATCTTCAGAGTCCGGGCACTCAGGCCTGCCCCACCCGATCTGCAGGCTCTCTGGACTGTCTCTTTGTGGCCCCTCATTGCTCCATCTGTCTGTCCGTCTGTCTGCCTCTCCTGTGATTTTTCTCTTCCATCTTCCTTTCTCTGTCTCACAGATTTTTCTTCTGAAGATGAGGATCTTTCTCTCAAGAGTGCCTCTTGGGGGAAGGGAGGAGAGGCTAACCGGGGCTGCACTGGAGTCCACCTCCGCAGCACCTGGTGTGGTGGCCTGCATGATACGGCAGTTTCCTCCCTCCCTCCCACCCTTGCCGTGAGCCAGGTAGCACATCAGCTCTGAGAGACAACAGTAGGTAAACACGCTGGGGGAGACTGTATTCAAACAACTGTGTTTGCACGGTGTTATGGCCTAAATGTGTGCCCCCCACCTCCCCCGAATTCCCACGCTGAAGCCGTCTCCCCCCTGTGCTTGTGTTTGACTGAAGGGAGTAAGTCGGCTTAAATGAGGTCAGAAGGGTGGGACCCTGATCCAATCGGATTAGCGTCCTTATCCTTATAAGAAGAGACACGAGAGCTCGGTAGAGCTTGCTCTTCGCTCTCTATGCCATGTGAGGACGCAGCAGGAAGGTGGCTGTCTGCACGCCTGGAAAGAGATCTCTCATCAGGAACTGAATGGGCTAGAACCTGGATCTCAGACTTCTTGCCTCCAGAGCTGCGAGAAAATCAGTGTCTGTCATGCAAGCCTTGTGTGCCCTCTGAAGTTTTGTTAACGCAGCCTGAGCTGACTCGGGTGCGTGGTGGACGCGCAGCTCGGGCCACGGGCCATGGGGAGGGTTGATTGCCATGGCCCCGAGGCTCCTCTGTGAGAGCTGGGTCCTGGCTGACACCTTTGAATCTTCACAATCCCATCTTGAAGATGAGGTGCCCACAGGAGGGACTGTAAGAGCTACCTTTGTCTGTCCAGCCTGTATCCTGAGGCAGTTTCCCTAGGCCGGGCCCGCCCATAGTCGTCACTCTTCTTCTCTTCCTTGCTCACACAGAATCCGGTATTTCGTGAACTCTCCTGTGCTCGTGGCATCAGGCTCCTGGAACTAGAGGCAGCTCGATCAGTGCTGTGAGGCACCACGAACAAGGTGCTGTCTTTATGAGAGTAGAAGTGGTGTTGGGGCTCAGTACTTGTGTCATAGTAAAAATATGAGTACTACGAGTAATAATTGTAGCTCAGTACTTTCCGTACATATATATCTTCTTTTAAAGATTCTATTTATTTTAGAGAGAGAGCAAGAAAGAGTGCGCACAAGCTGGGGGAGGGGCAGAGGAAGAGGGAGACTCTCCAGTAGGCTCCACGCCCAGCATAGAGCCCACGACCCTGAGATCATGACTTGAGCCGAAATCAAGAGTTGGATGCTTCACTGACTGAGCCACCCAGGCGCCCCAACCCTTTCCATCTATCATCTCATTTACTTTTCCGAACGTGTGAGGGGACGGAGGTTAAGGAACACACCCAAGATGATAAATGAAAGCGTCTCCCTGTGGAATGTGTGTGATGCAGATTAGTACTCCGTGCCTTTGCATCATTTCAAGTTCCTTTTATTTTGTAACTTGAGGCTAACATTCAGAAGATTTTACTAATGAGAGAACCATTTGCTAAATTGTAGTAAGTGCTCTGTATCCTGGCTTAGCCCATCCCAGTGTGTCTCTTGGTACCTCTTACCCCAGATGCGCCCCCTGTTCCTTCCAGTCGCTTCCTAGCTTGGGCACCAGATTCTCTCCGGGTGAGAAGCCCTTCCCTTCCTGCTCCCCTGGGATCCAGCTTTGTCTGGGTGGCTGGCTGCAGTGGGTTCGATCCTTGGTTTGTAATGGGTGAAGTGACAGTCCTGTGTGGTACACAGCTGTCTTGTGGCCTGGCTCCTCTGGGATGTGGGTGGCTTCCAGAAGCCCCGCACTGCTGCCTTCTGGGTCCCTGTGGTCTCTCCGAGGGGAATGACCAGCTTGCTGGGAATTCATATTCTTCTGCTGCAAGGCATTTTCTCTCCCG